ATATGCCGTTCGTAAAAGCAAGACAGCAACGAACTGCAACGAGCATTGCCGTTGACCAGTCATGACTGCGTCGACGTGGCACATCCTCTGGGGTTCGCCTACGTACTTACTACTTCTACTCACCCCAGCAAGGCCTGTCTGTCCACGCATTTACAAACAAAAGCATCGTGAGGTCAATTGCTCCTCGTCTGATTGTTTTGTCGACATGTGGTTACCGCCTTTGTCACGTGGGACTTTCCGACGTGACTACAACCGCGCGACACGCCACACGTTCCACGTGGCACGTCAACGTCTGCGAATCTGTGATGCTTTCAGCTTCCAATCATGTCTCACGGACTGATCAATATCCTCCCCTTTCCCCCTCCCCCTACACCCCCTGTCTATGTTCACGGCAACGCGCACAAGTCAGTTGACCATCACTCTGCCGCCATGTACGCGCCCATGGACCGCTCTGCGGCCAAACTGCGCGCGCCGCCGTCGCCCTCGTCGTTCGCCTCCTCTCTCGTCAAGCGCGTGCTGCTCGTGCTCGCGTGTGCAGCAATCAGCGTCGCCACTAGTCTCCTCCTCGTCCACGTTATGCGCAGCGACGCCTTCCACCGCCTCGTGCGCTGGCTCCAGACGCACGAGGCACTGGGCGCGGTGCTCTACGTCTGCTGCTTCACGTCGTTCGTCGTGCTCTGCTTTCCCTCCACGGCCTTTGAGCTGCTCGCTGGCTACGTCTTTGGCTTCTCCCTGGGCCTTCTGCTCGCTACGACGGGTAAACTCGTGGGTTCAGTGCTGTCGTTCGTCATTGGCCGCCACGTCTGCCGCCACCGCGTGCACGTCTACATGTCGCAGGGCCACCCCGCCCTCCGCGGGTTCCAAACCCTATTGCGCAAACGTCAGATCCTCGTTGTGTTTCTCACGCGCGTCGCCTTTTTCCCCATTGCTGTCAAAAACTATGGCCTGAGCGTACTCGACGTGGCGTTTCCCGTGTACTTTGCCGCGGCGTTGCTCACGGGCCTCCCGTTCTCGGCCATATGGGTCTACTCGGGCCACGCGGTCGAGAACGTCGCGACGCTCTTGGCCAGTCCCACGACGTCGGGACACGGGACCGAAATGATTGTGCTCTTCGTGGGCGCCGGCAGTGCGTTGCTGCTATTGGGCGTCGTGGGCATTTACACGCGCCACTATGTACTGGAAATGGCCCAAGAAGAAGAAGAAGAAGAAGAAGAAGAAGAAGAAGAAGAAGAGGAACACGAAGACGAAGACGAAGATGGAGAGCAGGGGAGAGACGTGGAGAAGAAACAGCTGCCGCGAGCGACGGGGGTGTAAAGTGGCTACATTTGTGAACGGCCTGTTGTATCGAAGACGGCTGTTTCCACGGAAAAAGCGCCTGGAGCTGTGGAGTGCTCGTGTCATCAGTGGCGCGGTGTGTCCCGGTGGTCTACTCTTGAGGGACATTGTGACGCGGCTGTTCGATCTTCTGGACGGCGGAACGTGGCGCTCCACTCGTTTTTCGTTCGACCGCACCTGTACGTGCACATACTAATGGAGGTAAGCAAAGGGAACAAAGGATGAGCCCTCAGGCTGTATAGCGACTTGGTGCCTATGTTTTCTATGTCATTGAGCTATTCCTTGGTACACTATGCGCTGCTTCATTCACCATTCGGCGTTGCACTTCTTCAGGGAATCGATTTGATTGCTGACGTGACAAGCTCGAGCCAAGTGCCATGCCAGGGGATCCTCGGCAACTCTCGTGCAACAATAGCAAGTGGCGACCAACCAGCTTTTGCAAGACGATGCCCGAATCGAGGATCAACTTGAGCTCGTCCGTCTCGAGTATTGCGAGCGAGCCCATGCCCGTGCTCCAGTCGTCGCTCACGAGCTCCTTCCAGAAACACTTTTTACAGAGCCACCACGAGAGTTGCCATTCCAGACGCCACGATACGTCGGCCAGAGGTCTAGAAGCTCCAGGAGCTCCTCGGGACACGCCGTTTGTGCCTCGACGTCCAGTTGGAGCTGTTCCTGAGCTTTTCGTGACTTTCCGACATGTTTTGCTCTCTGTAGATATCCCCGTGCCACCTGCAGCAGCAGCAGCGGAAGCTACCTCAGGTCAAATGAGTCGCGAAGCACTCGCTGCCAAGCATCTTCCGACCATACCGAACCACGTTCGAGGCCTTATGGGAGGGCTCACTGCAAGCAGGACGTTTGTTCGTCGCCAACTTCTCAAAAACGTGACCGGTGCTTTCACACCGGGTTCGATGACGCTGGTGCTCGGGCGCTCTGGATCGGGCAAGTCGGTGTTACTGAAGCTATTAAGTGGCCGTTTCAACGTGAATGGGAAGAGCGTGACGCTGGATGGCGAAGTGTCGTACAATGGGTTATCGCAGGACCAGCTGAGGTCACAGCTGCCACAATGCGTGGCGTATGTCCCACAGCAGGACACGCATCTGCCCGTCATGACAGTCAAAGAAACACTGGAGTTTGCATTTGATTGCTGTGCGATTCACGCAGATGCGAGGCCGGTGGGTACCGTGTACAAGACGCCATCGCTGGAGTATCCGGTCGCGCTTCCGACCACGTATCTCGGTGGGGAGAGAGACCCAGTGGCTGTGACACGAGAACTCGGCTTGACACGCTGTCAAGGCACTATCATGGGCGACGATCGCATTCGAGGCATCTCTGGCGGTGAAAAAAGCGCGTGAGTACGGGTGAGATGGCTTTTGGTCCGCACGCCGTGTCCCTGATGGACGAGATTACAACGGGACTTGATAGCTCTGCCGCTTTTGATGTCGTAAACGTGCAGCGTCGCTTGGCCAGGCAGCAACGACAGACAGTGGTGATATCGCTGCAGCAGCCTGCGCCTGAAGTTCTGGCGCTCTTTGACAACGTGTTGCTGCTGGCCGAAGGTGAAGTGCTGTACCACGGATCTCGCGCTCACGTTCAGGCCTACTTTGAGGGTCTGGGCTTTGTGTGTCCTCCTGAGCGCGACCTTGCGGATTTCTTGTGCGATTTGGCGTCTCCAGAGCAGATTCAGTACGAAACTTCGCGTATGCCAATGTCCGGAAGGCGCCGTCATCCCCGCAGTGCTAGCGAGTTTGCCGATCTATGGATAATGTCACCTACGTACGAAGCGATGGTGGAGGAATTGGACTATCTCGACAAAGACACAAAGACGTGCACTCAAGCGTACAGCAAGAACGGTGAGAGAGAGCTATACTTTGACCAAGAAGCACTGCTGCGCGTTCCAGCAACCCGCCAAAGCTACTGGTGCAGCACGTCGATCGTGGTAAGGCGACAGATGCGTCTGATTATGCGCAACAAGGAGTTGTTTACGGGTCGGCTGCTGCTGGACTTACTTGTCGGCCTGATGGTGGGGTCAGTTTACTATAGCATGGACCTCGCCGACCCACAAGTTACGGTGGGAGTGGTCTTTTCGTGCGCGTTATTTCTGGGACTTGGTCAATCCGCGACACTGGCACCATTGTTTGATGCACGTGGTGTGTTTTATAAACATCGCGGTGCTAACTTTTACCGCACGTCCAGCCACGTTCTCGCCTCATGCATCAGCCATCTACCACTTGCTATGATTGAAGCAGTGGTCTTTAGCTCCCTGGTCTATTGGATGGGTGGATTTACTGCATCCTTCGAGCATTTCATGGTGTTTGTTACGTACATGCTCTTGACGGTCTTGGTATTCATCAGCGAGTACTTCTTTCTGGCTGCGGCGTGTTCGACACTCCACGAAGCCCAGTCAGCTTCGACATTGGCACTGCTTTTGTGCATTCTCTTTGCCGGCTTTGCAGTTTCTCGTGAGCAACTTCCCTGGGCCTTGCGATGGATCTATTGGTGCAACCCTCTTGCCTGGGCGATCCGTGGAATTATGGTGAGCCAATATCGTAGCAGTGAGCTGGATGTCTGCAGATACGGCGGCATTGACTATTGCAAGATGTATGAAGGTCAGACGTTAGGTGACTACGCTCTTGGGTTGTACGATGTGCCTGGCGATCCCAAGTGGGTACTGCTGGGAGTACTGTTTCTCACAATGGTGTACGTCGTGATCATGATCATGTCATACGTAATGTTGGAATATTGTCGCCATGAGGCCATTCCAGCATTACCGCCATCGTGCAATCCATCATCCTCTTTTGTTGTCGATACGGCGATGACGCCGAGACAACCGAATGAGTCGTACGCAATGTTATCGACACCCCGGAGAGACGAAGACGACATGCAAGAGAGCGATTTGACTGGGTTTCCGCTCCGTGACGATGGCGACGGTCTCGTCGTTCTGGGTGGAGGTGACTACTTGGGCGGCTCGTCTGTCGTCTCGCAGGGGCTCAAAACGAACCCTGAAGACGTGGTACGCTTCACATCTCGACGAGACATGGTACCTGTCACGCTTGCATTCCAAGATCTACGGTACAGCATTTCTGTTCCCGTAGGTGCTGCTGTTGATTTGGCTGGACAGACAGATAGAGCTCTGGGTGACTCACGTGTTGGGGATGCTCGTGCAAACACGAACGAGGGAAAGGGAACCGTGACGCGAGAGCTACTCAAGGGCGTTACGGGGTATGCATTGCCTGGTACAATGACAGCGCTAATGGGCTCTACTGGAGCTGGAAAAACTACGCTCTTGGATGTGCTAGCTGGTCGAAAGAGAGGGAAGACAGGCAGCAAGAATGGTGCAGCGACTTTGCGAGGTCGAGTGCTGCTGAATGGAGTTGATGCTACAGAACTTGCGATTCGCCGGTGCACGGGATACTGTGAGCAAACGGATGTGCATTCTGATGCCGCGACATTCCGCGAGGCGTTACAGTTTTCGGCGTATCTCCGTCAAAGCGACCAAGTTGCACCTGCCAGGGTCGAAGAGATTGTCGACGAGTGTCTAGACTTGTTGGGGCTGAATGACGTAGCTGGTCGATTGATACGTGGCAGCTCAAGCGAGCAAATCAAGAGGCTGACTCTAGGTATCGAACTTGCTGCTCAGCCTAGTGTCCTATTTCTTGATGAACCTACGAGTGGTTTGGATGCTCGAGCTGCAAAGTCGCTCATGGATGGTGTTCGCAAAGTGGCGGATTCGGGTCGCACGGTCATTTGTACTATTCATCAGCCGTCTACTGAAATCTTCTTGCTTTTCGACAGTCTCTTGCTTCTCCAGCGCGGTGGCGAGACTGTGTACTTTGGTGAATTGGGTCACAATGGTGAAACAATTGTAAACTACTTTCAAGACTTGGGTGCGCAGTGTCGTGTGCCGGCCTTTGAGCCAGGCGACAATCCGGCCACCTGGATGCTAGACGTGATTGGTGCTAGTGTTGAGAGAATGAAGCCGATATCGTCGCTGGCACGGAAGTTTAGACGCCCCGGTCCACCTGCAACGAACAAGTCTCGTTTGCAACAGCTGGACGGGTCGCTCGATTCTTCCATCAACTCGGAGCGCTCGCGGCAGTATCGTGATGAGAGCGTGGACTTTGTAGCGGCGTACAAGTCTAGCCGCATCAAACAACGTCTGGACGTTAAGCGTGCTGCCCCTGGGGTGTTTATGCCATCGGACCGTTTGTCGCCTGTGACTTTTACTCAACGTCGAGCAGCTAGCGATCGATTGCAATTCACGATGCTCCTGCGCCGGTTCTCACGACTCTATTGGCGCACACCGCTTTACACATTTACTCGAATGGTGACCGCGCTGACGCTCGGCTTGATCTTTGGACTGGTATACTCTGGCACAAACGACTTTACCACGTATCAGGGTGCCAACGGTGCGGTGGGACTAATTTTCTTCTCGACGTGTTTCTTGGGCGTCGGATCTTACGTCCAGGTGCTACCCCTGGCATTCGAAGAGCGCGGACCATTTTATCGTGAGCGAGCTTCCGAGACGTACAGTGCGCTGTGGTACTTTGCAGCTTCGTCGATCGTGGAGATTCCCTATGCTGCCGTTGTTTCGATGATCTTCGTGGGCGTGTTTTACCCGATGGCAGGTTTCGCTTCCTATGGTGGCTTCGCCCAAGTTGTGGTGTATTGGTTGGTGCTGACGATACACATCTTGTTCCAGACGTACTTTGGTCAGTTTTTTACATTCGCCACTCCAAGCATTGAACTCGCCGCTGTCTGGGGCGCGCTCTTTGACTCCATTTTCCTCATGTTCATGGGCTACAACCCTCCCTTGTCAAGTATCCCCGATCGATACGAATGGCTGTCCCATCTTGTACCGCACCGCTACACGTTTCAGGTGCTCACAGCGTTGGTACTTGGCGATTGTCCGAATGAGCAATTGCAGCAGATCGCAGAGGCTTCTGCCACGAACACCACAATTGACGTCTCGAGGTGGCCACTGGGCTGCCAACCGCTTACTGATGCGCCTCCTGCCGTGGCCAACATCGCGCTCACCTCGTACATTGATCAAGTGTTTGGAGCCCGTCGCGAAGACGCCACGGACGCAATTTTCGTTGTTATTGGCATCTTGCTAGTGATGCGGTTGGCGACATTGGTCGTCATGCGTGTCGTCAATCACCAGAAGCGCTGAAGAAGAAAAGTATGTGCAGTGCAGTTTTTCACGCGTTTCAGCTCGGACAATGCAATGGCCCTCTTCGTTGGATGATTGTGATTTTATTTTCGACACTTGGCTTCCTTCCAACAAGCCGTATCGTGGTAAATGTGCCATATGCGACCGGACGCAAAGGTCTCGCGTGGATTCGTTTTCTTGGTGACCAGTGGACCTACTTCTCGATACGAGAAGAAAAGAAGTCAAGTGTGCAAGTGCACTTTGTTGTCCTCTCGACAGCAGGTACGGACAATTTAGCCTGTCGTACATGCGCCGAGTTCCTCGGTCTTTCGTGCGTACTTCCATCGCACTGCCGATTGCCTCGTTGACGGTCCGTAATCGGACAAGTTGGTTCGCTCGGACGTAATGCCGCTGGAATGGCATATAACACCCGTGCACTCGAGTGTGCATCGATGTGCTGGATGGCGTGTTGTTGGCTACCGACACACCGGTGTAAATGAGGTCACGAAACGGTGATCAAGTATGCGACAATGCGGTCGGCTCGGGTCAGCGGGGACGCCTCGATGCGGTAGTGAAATGATCTTCAGTGCACGTATTGAAGACGTGACAGCAAAGTTGTTACTCGCTGTCCTTCACATGTGCTGCTAGGACGAACACAAGTATGCCAGATGCTCCGACGATGCTGTAGCCGATACGTTTACCCCAAATTGGCTGCTTCGTGACGCACGTTCCTTGGCGCCTGTACGCAGCAAAACGACGAAAAGGACCGCGGAAGTCTGCACGTTCTGATTGATCTCGTCGCGATAGAATGGGTTTCCAGCACGTCATGTCCCGGTGTCAGCAGCAAGAAGGCAGCGACAGCGTAAGCGAATAGCGTGCAGATTTTTGACACCAGCCATGTACTCCGTGCTGCGGGGCTATTACAATGCTCTTGAGCTGTCACAAGGCTCTTGACGCAATGGTTTGTTCTTCTCACAGCAAGATCAGACTGTGAGACCTGACAAAATATACAAGAGGACAACGGACGCGTCTCTGGAAGCTATACGTACGCAGTCTCACCTGATGAATTCGCTACGTGCCGTGAGCTCACGAAAAGGAGTATGTCGGTATTTGTAACTTCTAAAGAGGATTCACATACCATCGATCTACTTCGATTCTTCGTGACTTGTCGAATTACAATATGGATAGACAAGTCGATAGAAGTATGCAATTGAGACTGTGGCGTCCGTGACAAAACTTTCAGTGCACTGTCCATGACTTTCTACGCCGTCCGTCTTGCGATACAAGCGCAAGACGTCGGGTGCAGCAGTTTGATCGCGCAAGTGCGTTTACACATTGGCATTATCTGAAAACGAGGGTACTCCCTCAAGTCAAACGATAGCTGGCCAACTGACGATACCATTCACCATATTGCCATCTTGTACACAACACGTGGTCGAAAGCTGAAACCAGCTGCGTGTATTTTTTCGATGCGAATTCCGCGGTATAGACACCTTCTCTTTGGCCAATCGACACGGTCTGCTACAAATAAATGGCCACTGCAACTGCATCAAACACGACGCTCGAAATCTCAAAGAGATACCGACGATGCAGTAACACTTGACAGACATAAGTTGTTCTGCTGCTTTATGACAAGCCGATACAACACAGTGTTTCTGCCACTGGCTTCGGGTTAGCAGCAGCGTAAGTTCTGTGGCGAGGACAAAAATGTACGCCGTCCGATGAGTATCTCTCTCTCTCTCTAACGTCAGACTGTTTTCCATGACTTACCGTTATCCAGAGAAGGCTTTGCTCATCGTTGAACGCGACGCGATCTTATTATGCACTGGACCATATGTCCTGTTCAAATAAATGCTCCAGTCAGCGACTCTGTGGTCTCGCACTCTTTTACTTTTCTCCCAGCGAACACACACGAACGAACACGCCCAAGAAACATACCAAGAGGCCGCAAGAATGAACAGAGCGGCAGTTGTCGCTGTAGTCGCTACACTGCTCCAGCTGCCCGAAACGGGGGCAAGAATCGGATCAGCCGCGCATGACCCCGACGAGCGTTGCCCGACACTCTGCACGCGCGAGTACATTCCCGTGTGCGACTCGGATCACACTGAGCACCCGAACAAGTGTCTGTTTGACGTGGCAGTCTGTAAGAACCCCCAGTTGATTGAGCAGCCGTGCGCGACTGAGAGGGAGTCCGAGTTGAGCGCTTTTGCCGAAACGTGAACACGAGCTGCTTGTTGAGCTGCTTTCATCAGGAACAGGACGTGTCCATGCAACGTGGTACCACTGTTTATGGTTAACATGGAGCAGCTTTTGTCAAGGGACGAAGCAGCGAAGAAGAAGAAGAAGAAGCGAAGAAGAAGGAAAGAAGAAGAAGAAAAAAAAAGAAGACGACGACGAAAAGGTCGAGCGAAGCAAGTGTTTTTTGTGAGAAATGCAAGTTACACAAAGGGTATTTTGTTTTGTTTCGGTTTGTCAACAACGCGCTTTCTTTTACAGTTGACAGCGGACGCGGTATTTCTAACTCGAGCACCACACCATCGCCGCTCTTCACACAGGCGCTTTTGCCACGTAGAGCCCACACGAAAAAGATGGCGAAACTCGACTTCTTCCGGTGCGTACCCTTTGCTGCTACTGCCCTGTGGACGGGCCCCAATGCGCTGTTTGTTTCCCATACACGTTCATCCTCCTCCACTTACTCTCTGCGTCTGTCTGTCTGTCTGTCTGTCTGTCTGTCTGTCTGTGCTGCTGTGCTGTGTGCTGTGTGCTGTGTGCTGTGTGCTGTGTGCTGTGTGCTGTGTGCTATGCTGTGCTGTGCCTTACAGACGCATTCCGGAAGACTTAAAAGTCCCGACGTCCACCGGCAGCTTCTTCTCGCTGCTGTCCTTCGCTCTGATGGTTTTTTTACTGCTCACCCATTGGAGGGCTTATAATGAGCAGAGTACGAAGACCACAGTCGTGCTGGACGAGCACCAGGAGGACCGCCTCCGCGTGAACTTCAACGTGAGCTTACTGGATGTCCCGTGCGCCGTCGCCAGCGTGGACCTGGAGGACTATATGGGCCAACGCTTTACGAACCTGACGCGCCACATTCGCCACTTCCGTCTTGCAACGGACGCAAAGACGAATGAGGTGCACCGGATGGATGAGGTGGTGATTGACAACCACAAGAAGGGGATTCCTGTCTGGGGAGGGGTCCATCGGGAGACACAGGGCGTCAATGTGCACTACTCGACGCCACTCACGAGCAAGACGTTTGACGACTTTATGGCCAAGTACGAGCTCGTGCTTGTCAATTATTACGCCCCCTGGTGCGTCTTTTGCCACCAACTTCACCCGGAGTGGGAGCGAGCGGCGGCGCAGTTGCCTGACCATCCCGAGTACAGCGAAATGGTGCGCATGGCGTCGGTGGATTGCACTGACCCGGACGCCGCGTGGCTCTGTCGTCGCGCGCACATCCGTGCGTTTCCGTCAATGCTCATCTACATGTACGGAAGTACGTCCACGCGCTACGTCTACAACGGACCACGTCGGACTGAGCACCTGCTGCAGTTCTTGGACTTGTTTTTCCGTCGCCTGGAGCCAGATGCTGATTTTGCTGAAGAAGTGAACGTGAACAGCGACCATCTTGGCCTTCCTCTGCCTGTGCGTGTGACCGAGGACAACTTGGGAGCGATGGACTTCAAAAAGCGTCGTCCGTCGGACGCCGTGCAGACTGGCACTGTCGAGGGATGTGAGATCTCGGGAAGCATCAGTGTCAATCGCGTCCCTGGCGTGCTGGCGTTCACGGTGCGCTCTGACGACGTGTCGTTCGATGCACGGACCATCGACATCTCCCACGTCATCAACCACTTCTCGTTTGGTCAAGTGCGGCGGACAGAGAACCTGTTTGTCGGAGGCAACAACGTGCTGGCAGCACCATCGAACCGCTATCCGCTTGACAAGAAGACGTTCACCGTCGAACGCGTGAACGTCACGGTGGAGCATTTCTTGAATGTGAGTGCACGTTGGGTACTGGCGGGAGATGGCGACTCACATGTGCCTCTGCGTCGTTTTACGTGTGACACTTGTAGGTCGTTGGTTTTGACAGCCGGGATAACTCGAGAACAACGCACCTGCAGCAGCGTTCGTACGAGTTTTCGGCGACGTCGACGCAATCCGTCGATAAGCTGCCGTGCGCACTCTTTAGGTTTGATATATCGCCGTTGGTCATTCAAGTCACCGCCGACAACGTTCCGTTCTATCACTTCATCACACAACTGTGCGCAGTGATCGGGGGCGTGTTTACTATCCTCGGTCTGGTCGACTCGGGCATCTTTCATGCCATGAACTCCATCAAGAAAAAGCAGCAGATCGGAAAGCTGTCGTAGAGATTGCACCGTTCATTACCGGCGCGTTTGATGTGTGCATTGCCTGCTCAGGTGCAAAAGAATAAAGCGAGTCGCACCAATCTATTTCCATTGTAGTGCTGCAACTCTTGGTCAATGCCATTGCACTGGTAGCACAACATGGCAACGACTAGCCACCATCATGTTGGTTTTTGCGTGTCAAGATAGTACTTCACAGCGTCAAGTTTTCGAAAGTGCTGAGTCACGGCGAAGCCCCACACGTAAATGTTCCCAACGGCGCAGCCAACTGAGATCAGCATGAGCGGGAGAAACGGATATCGTGCACCAATTCGCGGGATGTACGGAAACACTGCCGCCAGGAAAGCTAGACCGGCCAGGCCACCGAGGAAGACTCGCTCAAAGATCGACATGCCGACGGCAGTGACCTTGATGTGCCGACCCTTCAGCGACTGCTTGAGCAGCGGAACGAGCACGACCTCAGCAAGCAAAGCATGGCAAGCGCCCAGGAGCACCTTTGATCCCTGCTCGGCTGGCGTGAACAACAATGGAAAGAGCGAAATCGTCGCGACTCCGGCTGCAAATCTGTACAATCGCATACTGGCAACACTGTCGGCAGCCATCAGCGCCAGCGGAAGCGTCACTTGCAAAATTGCTTTCTCGTGTACATGGTACCCGAGCAGGAACGAGCATAGCATGCAGTAGGCAAGCGCACTTGTGAACAGCGAGGAGTCCGGGTACTTCCACACGCTCCGTAGTACCGGCGTCATCAGAGCAAAAGTCAGCATTGCGCACACGAGCGGCGACACGGCCGGCAGCACGGCAAAGCTCGCCTCCTGGACAAGCCCGCCGCTCATGAGCGCAACCCCTTTTGTCGCAGCTGGAAAACCGAGAACCAAAAGTACCTTGTCCAGAAAAGCGTACAGCGCCCACACGTTGGGTGCCCAGTAGGCGTGGCACAGTCCTCTCTGAACAGGAAACAATCGCGACCCAATCTGCTGCATGCCGATCATCGGGTTTTCATGGTCCCACAATAAACTACCGAAAGCACACGCGAATACTGCAAGCACGATCGCTCCCAGGTGCAAAAACCTGACGAACGAAAACGTCACGTTCCCATCGTGAAGGTCCTGAATAGTCCCGTGCACGTCGGTGCTCGAGATCGAGCGTTTCCTCAGCATCGTTTCCAGCTGTGTGTCGTCGTCCTCGTCGTCCTCGTTGTCCTTCTTATGGCTGTCGGCCGCTTTCACGGCCGCTTTCTTCACGTAGCAATAGTGTCCCAACAAGTAGACAAAGTACAACGGCGCGGCGTAGAGGTAAATGTGCTTGAACAGGAGCAGCACTGTGTAATACAGCGCGCCTCGGCAATCCTGTTGCAGGCGAAACTTGGTCGCCGAGAGGATCAACAGGCCCAAGAGCATGCCATTGTACTGGAAGTGAATGTGGTCCACGTACAGCAGCGCCGCATCCAGTACGGTCACCAGCATAATGGCTCCTCGTTTGGCCGTCGAGAACGCCCACTCGGTCGTTGTCACGGTCGGCCACGACGCGCAATAGGCGTAGAGAGCATAGAAGAGCACAACGTCCGACAGAATGACGCTCAGGCGCTGGAACAGCACGAGCGACGGCGACAGAATGGGCTCTGCGCGAAGCTCAAGCAGCTGCTCTTTCTCGTCCAGAACTTGCGCCGCGACGAGCGCCAAGAGGTACTCAAAGTAGGCAAACAGCGGCGGGTAGTCCAAGGTCCATGGGCTCGTGTGGTCGACGTACCACAGGCGACGAGGCAGGCGGTACGTGAGGCTCAGCCAGTTGCGATGGACCTCAAAGTCGGTGCTCGTGTACGACGGGAGGAGGAGCAGCTTGAGGCACACGGAGAAGAGGAAGAGGGCCGCGAGCGACGCGTCCAGTCGGTGCTTCTCGCGCAGCGGTTGAGCAGCGGCGGCGGACGTCATGATGGAGAACGGGATTGGTGGAAAAGCAGAGGCGGAGGGCACTGAAGTGGGGGGGAGAGAGGCGACTTGGGGTGACCACTGCGTCGGAGGTAGTTTACGGTTAGAAATAAGCTGAGCACGAGAAGGGGTAATGTATTGCGGAGCACGGTTTAGGCACTACCTTGGTCTTGCGGTCTGGCTTGTGTATACATCATACACACATTTGACTCGCAGTTGTTGTGTAGTTTGTACTTGAAGAAGGGCGACGCAGTACGAATTGAGCCTTTGTTTGGTAGCTAGAGGTATTACGAAACAAAAGTAAATGGAAGCACCAGGTCCATCTCCTCGGCAAGAACTCAAAGTCACGCGTCATGGTTCGAACAATCACATGAACGCCATGCATCTCGTCATGGCAGTGCGACTATCGTAGTGTCGCAGCTATGTTCACGCAACAAGCGTTTTCTAAGTAAGGCTCTCGCTCATTTCATTATACGCCCATGGTCGAGTGACTGTTCATGACTATTCACCTGTGGTACGACAATTCCTGGCATTTGTAAACATTGTCTTGATACTCTCGTGAGAAACAAAGATCGTGACGGCAACAATGAGAGCCTCTGATGGACATTTGGAGGTATCTGGGGAAAAGAAAACGCAACGTAAATTTTGTGACTGTAAGTGCAAAGGCTTAAAACGTCAACCTCAATGCTCCAGATCCAGGCTCATTAAGTAACGAGATGGTCGAACGACTGTCGTGGTTCTCTTATAACGACACCGTCGTTCACAAGCAGTCTACAAAGCAGCGGATCATCTTCACCAAAATATTCGTAGCCATAATGACAAACATTTACGGTTTTCTTACGCGCAAATGCTTATACCTGATAGTATTGCTGCACCTACTAACAAGCCACTCACCTTTCGAAACACACCCAGTTTGCGTTCGTGACCAGTGTTAAACTTGTCAGCTGACCCGGCTGGTTGCCAGCGGTTCATGAAGATTATCGCAGTTTACCCGTCAGGATCAACTACCTGCTAATACAAGGAACATCGGTGCAACGATGGAACCCCTGCAAATATACGGAGGAGTTTGCCACGTATTGCATATCAATAGTCAGACGCGTAGTCATCAACGCAATCGAATGTTTCGTCCGAACTGATACGAACCGCAATCGATACGTCAACAGGATCGGCAGAAAAGTTGTCGCTAGTCCGGCATTAGCGGTGATATTGTCTCGCGAGCTGTCAAAGAGGTCGAGTGGCTCACTGACCAGTCTAGACTGAATCGAGCGTGATGTCAAAGCTACTGCACACACACACTTAACTGCGGTCTGTCAATTGTTATCAATTGTAAAACAAAGCTGTGTATGCGCCGAGCATCAGGAGTCACCACACAAATCCTGGATGGCCTGCCATTTGTGAGCTTCTGGCACGAAGACGGTTCGAGGTACCTTGTTGCGGTACACGGTAGAAAGGAACGCTGAAGACAGATATCTATGCTAGAAAACCGATGAGCCGATTTGAAGGCAGATAGATGGCCATTTGATCGGGGTCACAACCCAACTGGTGAGTCACAGAGCAAACAAACTCACCGACTCGAGTCTGTGCGTGCATTTAGCTGCTAAAGTAGTGCAACATGTGCAAGATGATGGAAAAGCCCGCGTAAAAGCAGAAAATGATGAATCCATATCCATTTCCGATCCCCTGTGTCGTCTGTAGAATGCGGTTGCTCTGTAAAAGACACCATTCAGGAAAAGCGTGAGACCTAACGGTGATCATACAAAACATGCTTGCAGGACTACATCCCACCTGGCTGACGTTAGACTTTGTCTCGTAGGCGTGGTGCTGAATCATCTCGATATCGGTCTGCTGCTCCATGATTTTATCCGCAAATTGACCCATGAGGTTTGAGATTTCGGCCATTTTGGACTCCATCTTTCTGCGGTAAACGAGACGACCGATTAGTTGCAATGAGACAGCACTGAAGGACGACTAGCCCAACCCACTTTGCGTCTTCAAGATTTTCTTGAAAATGTCGATGTAGCATTGCATTTTCAGCGCCAAAACGGCGGCCTTCCTCTTCGGTAAACTCAAGCTCGTCGCTTTGTGAGGCGAATATTGGTGCTTGCTGCGGCAGTAAGTCTCGAGGCGTAAGGATGTGACAATCAACGCAGCTTAAACACTTGTGTAGCACGCACCTGCACGATTGCTGTCAATTTTCTTGTGTTCACGACATCGCAATGGGTCTCGTCGACCTTGGTTTGTTGCACCGGTGCTGAATTCATTGGTGGTGCAAAGCTAGCACAGGTCGACTTTGTAGGCGATCCGAGCTTTTGAGACGATGAGATTGCCAGGGCTTCAGTTTTATCGTCAGAAAGGGCAGCGGCCTGTTTCTTCGTAGCTTTCACCTGTCCCATGTGCACGATTCTTTTCTCCAGTGCATCTAAACCTTGTCGGTCATCTTCTGGCAGCAACCTTGAGCATCAAAGGCACTCACTAGTGTCAGCCAGTCTATCTCAGCTGTAAGAAGATATCAAAGATGCTGCACGAGAGAGTCAACGACACACTCACCGCGACGACAGTAGAAACGGCTGTTGATATCGCTTCTTTTGCATCTGCTTGGCGCTATCCGCAGTGCATTTCAAGCGCTACGATGAATAAGCGCGAACGACACAAGAAGTTACAGTCCAGACTCTCGAGCAGCAGCAACTAAACACATCCACCACTTCTACCTCAAGCAGATATGCCACCACTTCTTTCTGGAACTCTTGCACACTAATCACAACAGCTTCATAGCCACGACAGTTAGTCTTAGCTTTCAATACACCTTGAAAACACATGGTTGCTAATAAGGACGCCTAAAAAGCTCACGCTGAGCCTCTGTCGCCGACTTCAAAGCATCAATCCTGCTGCTGCAACTTTTAATGAGCTCCACCAGATCCTGCAACAGCAGCAGATTGTTAAATTGAGTTATTCCTTTCTTAGCCTGCCACGGAATGTCCATTTTTGACTGTTCTTACAGCGTCCAGCTCATCCTTGTCCGCTTCACTCATCCGGGACCCTTTGGTCCGGACGAAGCGCTTTGGCAGCAAATAGTTTGGTTTTACTTGACGCAACAGCTTTTCCAGTTCTACTAAACTGCTCAACTAGGGATTTGTTTTGAAACATAAGACGATGCTAGACATTGAGAAACAAAACACCGATACAAATACCACGGCGTCGACCACTTGCAGGAACCATACACAGCTTCGGGTGGATAGACGTACCAAGTTTGAGGCTTCCCGGACAAATGCACTCTGATGCTTCGCAACGGTACCGGGAGGTATCGGCGCGAGCTCCCGAAAGCACGAGGTCACATCCACACGCATTGGAGCGACAAAGTCAAATACTGACTTTGGAGTCGGTCGATCGAAAAGTGTGATTACGAGAGCCAATCGGCGGTCTCGTTGTGATATCGTTTTTCAATTTGATACGTGAGCGATCGTCGCTTCGATCATAGAACATGTGAGCCACCAGCTGTTCAATTTGATGCGCGGCAACGCAAAAAAGGATTGTGCGATGCTGTTTCTAGTGCAACGAATTACGTATTCAGTTGGCGTCGCTAAAAGGTTGCACAGCATCATTGTATGAGAAGGCTGCACTTTGTAGTGGGTAGACTTTATACTGCCCAAAATCAAAGTGAAAATATTTATATTCGACTTTGCTGTTGTTTTCATCAAAACAAACTTACGTAAGGATTCCCCACAAGCTTGTTCACGCTAAAGCAGAACGGAGTCGTGCATTGCGGAAAATCGACGGCCATTTGATGTCATTCCATTTCCATCAGCTCCAACCACGGGGTCACCAAGCTTCGATCATGAGACGCGGGTAGCCAGCATTTGACTAGCGAGGTGAGAAACCAGTCAAAACCCAAAACTGAGATATCCAAACGATGAAAAGCAAATTGCAGACGGTCAGGACCGACAAAGTATTGGCATTGCACAGCGCAGGCACGCATCCGTAAAGACGAACTACTCTGCGGAACAATGTATGCACACTGCTGCAAGAGTTGCGTAAGCCATACTCAACGAGATACCAACTGATCCGACTTTCGTTGGCCGGTGTACAGCCAAGAGTAGTCACTAGCAAACAAAGATCTCTCAGACGTCTCACAAGAGGCGAGTGTATGTCACTGAGATTGATTGTCCCCTTCTGAGGGCCACAGATAGGTCGAATGGCGTATTTGTAGCCAATGTTGTCGCACTCAAACGGTGACATATCGATGCAGCGGCAGTGCACATGGTTGTATCGAATTTTGTACTAGTGAGAACTGTCGGAATACATGGTGATAATCTCACAAATCTAGGTTCCTTATGATCTTCACCTATTTAGACTTTTTTGCAGCAGTAAGCAGCAATCCCATACGTGTCTGTATTTGACATGGTGTAAACTAAATCGAGTAAATTGGAGCATGGAACAAAACGAATGTCAAAACTAACACATACGCACAGCAATGACACCGTCATAGCCGATAACTATACTTTATGGCAACGACACACACAACTGAATTGAAACACACCGATCTCTGGATCGATACCCGCTCGACAGCAAGCAAGCGTGTTTCGTTGCGGGCCTTTATCATCGATTATGGGGCGTTATAGCATCGGGTTTGTCACCTCCATGTATGTGGACGGTTAATGATGGACTCATTTGAGCTGCTTAAGATCTGAGGAGCTGTCTAATACAAGCTAATAACCCCCTACTGTCGTTGTCACTGCGCTCTTTTGTTCCACTTTAAATTTGCACTCTCAGGTCTGTGTATCTGATGCTGTGCAATCGCACTGACCTCCACCGAGCGACGTATGTATGACACGTGATATATTGAGGTGTAGTCCTTCTTTACAAACCGTTGCGTAAAAGTGATCACATCATCTTGTACACATTCGCTTCGTCCCACCCCTTGCTTCGCAACAAACGACCTCCCTCGTTTTAGTCGTCGTTTTATCAACTTTGCCTTACATCAGTAAGCAGCCCGCAACTCCCGTAGTTGCAGGAGCACGTGGTAACATACGTGCTGCTCCTTCACCCGCAGCTTTGGCTGCGGGAGGTAGTCCCATGGACCAAGATCCCAAGATATAGGTGATCCATTCGGGTGAATTGGGTTCTCCGTCCGACTCCAAGCCGTGCGCAAATCCAGACTGTAAGATTGCGGCATCTACGATTGCTGCGCCTCGCGGCAGTCTCGATAAAGACTTGCGCCATGAGATGTTCGGTTCATCCGATAAGTCTGTGAAGTCGTCGCCTGGATCGAACCGATCGCGCTCCTATTCGTACAAAGCGAGGGCAAAACACGAGGACTTAAGTCCTCATGCAGCTTTGTTGCACTCTAGCACGAGTTTGTAATCAGTGCATTAGCTGCTTCATATAAAACCGAATTAGTGCCGTTTTCGGTATATGAAGATTGATTACCTATCTCCTATGCCTGTGTTTTCAAGTATCAAAAAAGGTCTGCACGTACTTTTGTTGTTGTTGTAGTGGATCGACTACTTCAACAAGGCCAATCAACTATACAACCGACGTGGTTCATCGTGTGAAAAGAAACTAATACTTGCGTGCGCGATGACAAGAATTTGCATGCGATAAGCAAGCTAGTGCAGTGAAGGTGTCGGTTATACTACATTCTAGTCTCTATCATACGCGTCATTCCGTACAATTGTACGTTTATGTACTAGGCATCGTGATGGTAAGTGGAAATGAGAAGAAGTGATCTTATGAATGTACAGTCCTGGCATTTGGTTATCCTAACGAATTGGTACTCTCCTGCTCACTTTGGTCCTTCACATCCCGGGGTTATTGCTAGCTACTGGTGGATGACGTTAGTTTCCGCGAGGCTTTCTAGTGCCACCCTGCTGGACAATAGTATAGTATTCTACGAAGTGCAAGACCAACTCTCGTCCGGATCGTCCTCGATGACAGTTTTTGCTAGGATGTATCACATATCATTTCGTTGCAGTTTATAAAGCTTTAGAGAGGTAATATGCTTGTGCAGGAGAGTCCAGCCTAAAGGCCGTTACTTTTTGGTATCAGGTTTCCCGGGTGTGCCATTGATACTTGAGAGTCACACATCATTAAGGGCTTTATGTTGAATGAAAGGAAAAACGGCTGAGAAAACGTGATCATTAGCCAGCGAGGAAACGAAATTGTACACCTGCCAAAACTGTAGGTGAAGAACCAGCCACTCCTTGCAATAACTCGGTTTTTCATAAATGTTTACCTAAAAGCTTCGCATATGCTCGCGAAAGATGATCATAATATGAAATGGGTCGCCGTCCGCTTGTACTGACATAGAACAATCTACTTTTGACACATTAAATGCACGTGCCTAGAGTTCTTACGAACACTATTCGTGCAGAGGAAGTCTTTATTCCTTTATTGGACAAGTTTAAGAGAAGGAACAAGTAGAGCTGTATTACCGATTGTAACGGGACACGCTCTTGCCAGATGACTGGCAAGACCTTGTGTTGACTGAACACAAGGCTGCGTACTCTGAACGTCACTTACACGTGGCGAGGAAGCGCAACCGAAGCAAACAAAACCCAAAAGCTCTGTCTCACATCAAAGTATCCCTGTATTTAACATAGTTATGAATCTTTGATAGACCATCTTTGTCTTCATTTAACTATATTATAATACAATCTCCTATGTGGATTTCTTGCTTACAACCCATTGCGCGCGTCCAGCAACGATTGGTGGCTACTCTAGTTGATGTACCGTGTACATCAACCAAGGAGTGGATCAATCACGAATATTACCTTCGGGGGTGATATTCTGCCAACATTACCTCTTTTCGACTAATGTCAATTAAATATTATCAAAATAGCTAATATTACAAAATTGGTACATTGGTATCAACTTTTATGTAACGGGCTCACCTCGTTACACTGATGGTCAAGATAACCAATAAGACCCCTTTTGACTTACTTGGACCATAAGTTAAGCCAGAAACTCCAAATGTAGCCATTCTCCCACCGCTCATTACGTGCGTCCAGCAGCGATTGGTGGTCATGTTGGTTGATACATACGCCTTTGTCAGCCAATAGGTGGAGCGGTACTGTATATTATCTTAATAAATAATATTTCTTCAATATTTAATCAGGAAGGCACATGATAGTGGATATCATCAAAAGGATAATAATCGAATCAAACTAGTTTGACGTCAATTACATGTAACAGGCTTACATCATCGCCTATATAGCATCAGTCACTATAGTGACTAATTGATTACTGATGGGCAGGCCTCTTTAGATTAGGCAAATAATTAATAAAAGCCTAATTCGCCTAATAAAAATAGGGAATTGCTAAATTCACACCCCTTTTCCTTAAATTCACACCCTTCCTTCGAAATCTTATGTATAGAAGGTACGCAATCGCCGTTGGACAAAGACGAGTGCTTTCTCTGCCACTTGGCTACGGGCGACATCTTGCGCGCTGCTGTAGCTGCTGGCACCGACATAGACAAAAAGTTCAAAGCCCACGGTGGTGGTGGTGTTGTGTTGTTGTTGTTGTTGTTGGTGGTGGTGGTGTTGTGTTGTTGGTGCTGTGTTGTTGGTGTTGGTGTGGTCATCCTCGTGCTAGTGGTGTACATCCCAGGCCTGCTCGTCATGTATAGCCACATGCCCACGCAGCGTAATCGTGCGTACTCCACGACAAAGACCAAGACTGCTTCGAGCAGGATGCGACAAGAGAAGAACGAGAACTGGCAAGAAGCGATCGTGTGCTGAGTGTAGTATAACGCTTGGAAGTCATGAAGAGCACAAGACAAACTTGCACCCAGTGCGTCCAATACCCTAACTCGGTTTAATACATTTTCGCTACTATCCGTAGTTTCAAATTAGCTAGCTCGTGCATTTCTTGAACGCCTAATTGGATTAGAGGTGATCTGACGGAAACTAATGGGGTCACGAATTTCTTGGTAAACATACTGTTCACCAATGTCTTCTCCATCAGGAGCTATAATGTGTTTTGAAGACTTGGCGAACAGAATCCCTAACGGTTTAACACCAGCCAATGTTATATTTCTGATAGTATCGGCCTGCTCGCTGTTTAGCTTCCTATGAGTCAAATGAACAGACGGATGGAGTGACGGCTCGTGATTGTGGCATCCATTCATCACGTTTAACTTCCAATTACGACTATTTTTGAGAAATTTCCACTTAAAAGGAACGGGCAATCAATTCGGCGTGAGCTGGTCTGACGTTGGCGCTCTTTTCCAACCGTTGGTACGTTTACGGCACCTCGATCACATTTAAGATAGACATGCTTTCCTGCAATCGAACTTTTAATCGTAACAGCATAACCTTGGCCACGTGCGAACGTCTGCACAGTATCCATAAGTTGCTCCCGACTGGCATACTCAACCTCGGGAGGAGGAAGTATGTTATTGCGTGGTGCCCTATCAGTAAACGCTGGAGGATCTAGACCACAGGTGTGAGTAGTATCTTATGTATTTCTTACGTATTACTTGCCAATCAATGGCCTAGATTATTGAGTAATAACTTTGTCAGAAAACAAATCTTAATATGAATAGGGATTTTATATATAAGATCTTGAAGGAAGGGTGTGAATCTAAGGAAAAGGGGTGTGAATTTAGCAATTTCCTAAAAAATATAGTAAAATGCCTAATGTCCACCAATGCCGTATCGAATTTTATGGTGGCGGTTTTGTGCTTGAGCTTAATTTCCAATCGTTAGAGTTGCTTGGACAGACTATGGCTCCACCTGCGAAGCGTGGGAATGCTTCCGCCGCGCGCGGTACGTCGTTTAACGATAAACAAAAGCTGGAACATGGTGTTAAAGTTGATGGCAAGGACACTTAAACCGACAAGATCAACCTCATCGCCTGCGGATTCTACGTCGCGTACGGTGTCGAGAAAAATGTAGGGGCTAAACGGTAGAAGACCTTTCCTAAGAAGACGTTTGACCCGCAGTATCGCCCGATGAACTACAGGTTGCTCCTCATTCTGCATCATCCGACCAAATAGGTGAAATATTAACACAAGTCCGACTCTGACAAGTCGGCCTTCTTCGACGTTGCTATCTTTTTTGTCAATACCATCGTATCGCATATGGATCAGGAAAGATACCACATCACCTACCGCATTGACAAAGGGGTCATTGACTTCGTCATTAGAAAATGCTATGGGATCCCGAGGATATAGAGATGCTCACGTTTACTAATGTGATGCGCATTTTCAGTCGTGGAGAGTCGTCAGGTGACGACGCGGTCACCATCAAGACGCATCTGGAATATAGGCTGGCAATAAAGCACGTCGGCATCCGCATCAGCATGAAGCAGACTGCCCTAAAGATTCAAGCTGCCAAGGAGGTGGACAATGTATCCAATATTGCCAGCATGAATCAAGCCAAGTTGCCGTGTTTGTCCGCGTGCAATGTGCTGCCAACTATCATATCATCGCCAACATTCTCAGATTGGTCTGTGCTTTTTCATTTCCTCTGGATGCTTCTACATGCCAAGGCACATCCTATGCTGACTTTCGAGTTCAGTGTTTTTGGATACGCGAGTATTTTTAATTTGCACCTCATATACGCCCATTCTTCGGTTCGAACACCGGTGTCGCTTACTTCGAGATGCCCGACAAGCTGTTCGACGTCATCAGCACCAGCTGGAAGCAGCATTAGATCAGCGCCTCCTCGGATGAAGCGCCGAAAATGACAGGAGCGATACCTGGTGTCACCACTTGCCTGCAGCAGGCTAGACTTGGCGGGTTCTATGGCGTATGTTGTCTGCTGCACCAGCTCGACATTCCGCTTCAAACGGCATATCAGAAGCTCAGAGATCGTCGAAGTTAAGGTTGTCAAAGTCGAGGTCATCGAAGTCGATGTCGATGTCGTCGAATTCAAGGTCATCGAATTTAAGGTTGTCAAAGTCAAGATCGTCAATGTCGAAATTGTCGAAGTAAAGGTCGTCGAACTCGAGATCGTCGAAGCTGAGGTCATCGAACCCGAGGTCGTAGAACCTGAGGTCGTCGAACTCGATTTCGGTGAATGAGAGGCCGTTGAAGTCGAGGTCGGCGAAAAAGAGGTCGGCGAGGTCGGCGAGGTCAAAATCGTCGAATTTGAGTTTGTCGAACTGAGTTCGTCCAACCGGAGGTCGACAAACTCGAGGTCGTCAAACTGGAGGTCGGCGAACCCGAGGTCGTCGAGCGTGATGTCGTCGAACACGAGGCCATAGAAAAGGAGGCCGTCAAAGTCAAAGTCGAGGTCGTCAAAATCAAAGTCGAGGTCGTCGAAGTCGAAGTAGAGGCCGTCGAAGTCAAGGTCATTGAACTCAAAGTCGTCGACGATCGAGCTTAGTGCAGATAGCGAAAAGATTGAAGAAGATATATTATATTTAGCTTGGGTATACTGGAAGAGTAGAACAACAGAAATTACTCAACGCTTCAGCTATATCAAAAGGCATAGATTAATATAGTGCAGAATTTTCTAAGTCCAAGACACGCGTACACTTAAGGTAAGTCCCTGCGTGGTCTAGATTATGCCTACCGTCGAACCTCGAGAGGAATAAATAGTAGAGGTATCGGATAGTAGTGCCAAGAGATTAGGAAGGCCCGGGTTGGGCGGAGCTCGCTACTCGCGAAAGAAGGAATCTCGTCGCCGACGAGCCGGTAAATCTAGTAAAAGGACCGTTGTGAGTCTTGTCAAGTGACAAGCCGGTGACCCAATAGACGAAATCGTTAAATTCTTGTCGAATTTCAAGCCGGTGGGCCTCATCCGAGGGCACTGAAATTATTCCAGTCGGGCGTACACTGCGCCCGGTGACCTGTCAAAACGCGGAAGCGTCGGCTTCCATCCTTTGGTGTGAAGTCACAGGAAGAGATAGGTTTCGAGGATGCTGAGCTCAGGCAGACTTCCGAATGAATTGGTTGTAATGAATTGATTAGGAGAGACCCACAACTGAACCCCGACGGGGCGAACCGAGAGGAGATTTTTTCACGTATTAGCCCGTTGCGCCGACTAAGCTCGTCGGTTGTTGTGTTTGTACGTTGGGGCTGTTGTATTTCAGAATCAACTAACTACTGAACCACTCCGACTTCAATATTGCGCACCGCTTGATTCTGAAAATTAATATAGGACGTCCCAGCCGCCGATAGTCATCTTTGAACTACCTCGTCCAATGTCGTGTGAGCCGCATCACCATTTCTCATCAATCTTCATTATCCGTAATATCGTTACTGTAGTTCTACGCACATGTAGGCAAGTATTGAAAAATGAGCTTCTTTTTCAATGCGTCGGCCGCCATCTTGTCCAATGTACGTGACGCGATATGACAACCCCCGTCTTCCCTGGGAACGTACATATTTACCCAGATCTAAATGTCATTTACCTCGCATCTGAGCTTCGACTACCATTTGATTGTCTACTAGCTATTCCATTGGGGTTGGTATGGCCATTCGTAGCTATATTTACAACTTGCGTGCCTCATTGGGGTTGTAATCTAGTGACCTAGATTAGTACCGCTCGTGCCGAGTGGAAAGCGCGAGGTCGATTTCCCTGTAAGAATAACCCGAGTTCCTAACAAAATGTTTCATACACGAGGAGCACTATTACCACCCCAAGAGCCTTGGTACGAGATAGTAAGACCTCTTTAAGTATTATACACATCTTAACAGCTAAAATATGGAATATCCGTTTTGATAGGCGATCAAAGCAGTCGTTAGTAACCGCCCGTCCCGTGAAACGATAAACACGACCGGGTCAGTATGCGAAGGCCCGACCTGAAGAGGGCAGTGTCATGTCGTTAGGAGATCTAATTGTACAGGATAAACCAAATTGGAAAAATTCGAAACCTTTATGATCACGCATGTAGCGACAGAAACGGCGTCAAATATCGACTACCTCGTATACACGCTAATTGCTCCTTGTTGTTGCATTCCCAGCTGACAGTTAGTACGTTAAACCTCACGACTTCTACGGTCAACGCTTCCGCGTCGTCTTAATTGAGGCATACTCAGTGAAACTGATAATTGATGATAGATCTTGCCACCGTTGCTTATCTTTACGACCATGTAAAATTAGGCATTTGTCAACTCTTCAGGTACCGTTAATGCGCCATATGAGATTCAGTCACTAGACATCGATGTATGTGCTTCGCGTTGTCGTACGATAAAAAAGTATGCAATTTAGAGACGACTGAATTGCGCCACTCAAAATAGGCTTCCGGTAAGCTCCTATAACTTCTTGATTGTTAATTGGCTGTCACTCTAACGCACTAGTTGCGGTATTTCGATTTAAAGGTAAATAATATCAGTCATCATGTTGGCGTCCGCACGGATTTGACAGAATCAATCTCGGTATCACGGAGGATCTTTTTATATGCCCCTTTCTGATGTAAGTCACATCCACCGCTTTGGTTATTGCACATTTTTGATTTTGAGAATCTTTTGGACCGCACCAAGATGTTTGATTGACGAAAAATAAGGACACAAAACTCACAAGTCCTATTATCCCGCGCGTGTCATTGATATAAAATGTTGTCGACATTAACGCCTACAACTGTGCTATTTTATCACGAAACATGAAGGATCGACACACGTCGGAGACGCAGCGTCCAAATCTAGCGTAATATTACTTATCATTAACTAATTGACCCCACTATCTGCCGGCAGAATTGATTGTAGTAAGCAACTATGATAGTCTCAACGAGATATCTGCAGCGCTTAAATTTCTCCAATACTAACTTAGCTCAAGGGGAGAGTTGCAAACCGCCTGGTACCTGCACAAAACATTTAAATCGTTTTTTTGTCCGGCTGGAAGTAGGTTATATATATATATTTATGATGATCTTGAACACACCAAAAATATCAAGTCTCATTATCGTTTATACGGTACGCATTTCCATGATCGCCGCAAAGGTAAGAACATTTGACACCAACCTTTAGCTCGTTTCACAATCTATGAGCAGATCAGTGAAACGCTTGACCCGACCTTTGGTGTCAGAAGTGTCTACAAATACACCAAAGACGCAAGGCATGTTTTCCTAAGGTCCCTTTATGACTTTAAAATCCCTAGGGCGAATCAGGGCATTAATATCTTCATCCAATAATTCAGTCGTTATCAATACATTGGAAAGCTTCATCGCCTCACAATATTTTGTGGATAAGATTGACTATATGGCTCATTATGTTCGTCTATTTTTAATTCTGCTGATAAGCGTGCCGCGTGCCTAGATCTCTGCCGCATCTTCTACATTTTACTTCTTCTTTATTCTTACGTAAGGCATATTGTTCATGGGTATCCCAGGAAAATGAACTCGTGTCATCTCCTGTTCACATCTTATTAGAAGTAATACTACCAGAATTATTATCAAACATTGTATATATGCTGAAAAAATAACCACCATGTATTGTTTTGGAAACGCACCACATCCTTACTTCTCGTCGCTTTTTTTAAAGTTTCACTTTGCAATCTCCAGCGCATAAAATTTCTGTTCCGACTTCTATACATGTCAGGTAATATATAAAAAAGTGCAAATTCGTCTTAATTTCAGGATCTTGATCGTCAAAACTATACGCAGCAAGGCATTTTCGGTGTTGGCGACGGCTACAGCTTCGATAGAGGATGTATGACGCGTACTCCACCTTGTTGCCTTAGGTGCAAAGAGGCAAACTCAATCGAAATATATGCATTGATTACATAAATAATAGTAATGCGCATTCGTACTGCTTTTCCTGCTACGCTAACTTGTATGTTTTACGAAGTTACCGTGAGGATACAATATCTTGAAAAATTGGTCGACATTTTGGTTGTAAACACCACCGTCCGTGCAGAAAAACGAACGTGAATGTCGAACACTTTTCAAATAAGACCATAAAATGATCGACCTCCTTATGAAAATCCATCCTTTTATCCAGCTGGAAAACGGCGATAATTCGGCTTTCAGTCTACAAAATATACTACTCATCGGTTTTAATCAATCCTTTATAAGAAAAAGGCTACTTTGAATTGCAGGACATCACCATTTAATTCTATTTCGATATAAATTATTTCTCGACTACTTGCGTGTCTGTGCTTTCCTTGCTCAATTTCACCAGGCGTGAGCGAAACACATTATCCAAGTCCAAATGTTTAATTTACTGCGGTACTTTCAGTACTTAGTCATACAACAGAGATAGTTGTTCAATCGGTAGGCTAATTTGGTCGTTGCCATTTTTATGAGTGCCATGATAAAATTAATTTTTAGTTCTCCTGTCGGCTTTTCCTAGTTTTTTTAATCACATGCATGTAAATTTGATCGCCACAGGCACATGTACCAGCTTAAAATTCACCAGCGACTGAAGATCGTTTGCATGCACAGTCTTGTAACCCTTGTCAAATTTTAATTTGAGATGCTAATGCTTTCGACTACTTTTGCGAGGTGAATGTCAATAAATTGCACTATGCGTGTGAATATTTGAAGGTAAACAAATTCCGATGTAGGGACATATAAATAAAGTTTGGTGTATTTAATTGATCTGCTGATCAACTTTTATTTCATGTTTTCAAAGTTTGTGATGCATTCTTTTTAACAAGTGCCCAGTGTATTCCTATCGAATTGGTGATAGTTTGATACATAATTTTGTATCCTTTCTGAAATTGACATGTCGTTAATATATGTAGATGTCAGATTAACATGTCGCTGAAAAGTATGAGAGCTCTATGATTGCAGCAACGACCGCGCCAAGAACATACGTTAAGCTTTGTACGCGCTGTCCTCTATTCGAGACGGCCACCGATGCTTTTGTGATCATCTACTTTGCAAAGAGAGGCTGCAAGAAAAACTTCAAAACCCGAGCTTCGTTGTATACAAATTGTCAACCGACTCGCCTCTTGTCAGGCGGAGCTACAACAGCTTCTTTGCCAGAGTTTGTCTTTTTTTTACGAAATGTTTATTATGATCGTAACAAGAAATGAACGATTCTTTTAAGATCATTGAGCTTATAGTCTTAGTGCAAGAGAAATCAACGATAAAGAGATTCAAAATCTCTCACGTTGCCCGCTTCATTTGAACAA